AAATTTGCACCTAAAAATGCGTAATATTAAAAATTAAGGTATTAATTATGATTATCTTTCTTTAGCTTTACATGCTGTATGCTACTTTTGTGCTTGTAGAATGTTTTTATTCCCTATGCGTAATATAAAATTAAGTATTAATTATGATAGCTTTACATGCTGTATGCAACGAGAGATCATGTATTAAACTTCAGAATTTAGAACCTTATTTTTAGGCATTATCTTGGCTACCTATTTAGGCTCGAAAAGCAAAAAATATCAAAAAAAAACTTGAGTCCATTATGACCCTTTCATGGAGGTAGTTTTTATCCGCTAGTATTTTCCCTTTGAATCTCTTTACAATTCGAAATCAAATTCAAAACTCAGTAGAAGAAAGGAAGAATCGACTTACTACGGCTGTAATACGAATAAATACATATATTTAATTATTTTTATTTACATAATAATTGTTTGAAGCTCATATTCCATCAAATTTTTAAATAAAAACATTAAAATGTTGAAAATGTTCATATATTTTAATAGGTTTTGGCACTTTATTGAGGAATTACTACATACATAGTCGAACTGAACTTGATATTTTGAAATTTAAATTATTTATCAAAATTAAAATTTAACTTGAAATTTATAATTATTTAGTCATATTTTGCATAATTCTAAGTAGATTTTGTAAAAAATCAAGAAAGAAAAATTTTAACGTGCTTTATTTTTTCTTTTTTTAATAATACATATTATTATATAATTAACATATTCATAATGTTTCACACTTTCAAAAATATAATCCTCCTCCTCGCAAATAAACGTACATACGGGTGGCCTCTTTTTCAAAAAATTAAAATTTGAAATTTTTGGCTCAAATATTAGAGATTTTTTCAACCTTCAACGATATATGTTGTCTATATCAGACCTCCTTTCTTTTTGATACTTAACATTGTTCCTAAATCTTAGCCGTTAAGGCTGTTCTGAAAATATTTTTTTTTTCGAAAAAATTCGAAAAAAATTCTTAAAATTCAAAAATCCCTTAATTCCTGAGGATTTTGGAAAAAAGTTTTTACATGAACATGTGTATATTATATGAAGTATATTGATAAGGTAAAAATCAAATTTTATTGCATATTCATCGAGAAAATAAACTAACGAATCCCTCAAAATTGAGAGGGTAATCCTCCTCCTCTCAAATAAACGTACATACGGGTGCACCCTTAAAAAAAATGCAAAAAAAATGTAATAAAATAAAAAAATTTTTAGTATCGATAATCTGAAATATGTTGTTTACTTAAGCCGCTCGCTTCGCTCGCGGCTTAGTTTCGTAATTTCGTACAATCTTTTTTCGAATCTATTCTTTTTGTCAGCCGCGAGCGAAGCGAGTGGCTTAGTTTGGTAATTTCATACAATTATTTTTCGAATTTGTTCTTTTTGTCAACCGCGAGCGAAGCGAGTGGCTTTTTATTTTTTAAAATTTTTTTCTTTCTTACTTTTTTTCCCCCTTACTTACAATTTTGATAGTAACTTACCAAATCTCTCTATCATATAATAATAAATTAATCCATTTTTTGTTTCAAATCTGACACTTTACATTTCTGACATGTAAATATGTCACTTTTCACTTCACCTCACTGGGCAAGTTTGTGCCCCCCTCAAAAATTTGAATTAATGCTCTCCTGCTATTTTTTTTCTCTCTGTTACCATTTAGGCGCACATATATAGTTACTATATTTCAAACTTTGAAGTCTCTATGAAAGCTAATTGTAGAGTTATACAAGCATCTAGATTTTTTAAAATGTATTATTAGATTATCTAAAAAAGTTTTCTAAACTAAGGTGGTGATCCCTTAAAATTATTTTAAATATAAATAATACATTTTATTATGATGTGAGGAGTTCCTCTAGTGTTACATTTGACTTTTATCGATCAAAGAATCTGGAATAGGCGGATCTACAATTACAAATCGACCTCCGACATCGCTTTCTTCTTTAATGAACTCAAACTGTGTTTCAACGTTTATTTTGATTGACATAGAGAGGGAATAAATTTCTTTGAGTTGACAATCTTCAAGAATCTCCTTCTGACATTGAAGAACTCAATGAAAGACATGAATGGAGAGTACAATCCGAGAATTGCAAAAATTATTATTAACATTTTCCTCAAAAAGTTTAATAAAGCAGCAGTAGACTCCGAAACAACAACTTTTATGGGTATTCTGTAATCGATGTTGTCATACAACTATTGTCAGAATCTGACGTTTGGCCTCTCCCAATTGAGACAAATTTTGGTTTGTTACGTAAGACATTAAACCAAGCAGGGCATACTATATTTAGTAATATTTTGTATTCAAAATATTGCTTTGCATTATATAATCAGTCAAATGATTTGAAGGACTAATCAAGCTTGTATGTATTTGGCTAAAATAGTTAATCATTAGTGAAGTTAATTTAAAATTCTTGATCAAAATACAGCCTTGACAATGCTTTGGTAAAAATGCAAATTCCGATATTCATTTCAGTTTCAAAAATTGAGTAAATATATTTGATATACAAAACATTATTGATATTTCAGTTTTTCAGATACTTTAAGCTTCAAATTTGAGTAAATTCTAAGATTTGAGCAAAATTTTAACAATAAAAATAAGGATGTCAATTCGGAAAATAGTTTTAACTTTAGGAAAATATAAATTTAGAGTAGGTGCCAAAAGTGCTTACTCTTAAACAACCGTCGGATTTCCGGGTGAAATCGTGACACACTTTCGTCTTTCGTAGGCAGTGGTGGTTGTTACAAAAGGTAACTTCGAATGTAGCGTGAAATCTGCAAAAAAAATTCTGAAATTTGAATTGAGAACACAAAAATTGAATAGTTTACGTCAATAAAAAAGAGAAAAATGAAGCCAATGTATCTCGAACCTAGGACTTAGAAAAGCAATTCCACTCTTTATACCATTACACTACATGCATCTCTCACCTCAGTGAATGAGATCAACTATATGATAACTTTTTCCCCATTATATTCTTGTGGAAAAGTGACAAATAGCAACTTTGACCCTCTCTCTATAAATTTATATTTGGAAAATATAAAAAATAAGATGCGCGAGGTTCGAACTTTTGATAAAAATGTTTCTACAAATAATTTTATAGATATAATGTTGTAAACAGAAATTCATCAAAAGTAACACCTCAGAAAAGCTAAAATATTGAATTTTTGGAACTTTTGATAGAGCACGTTTTTAAATATTAATTAAAGTAAATGTATATTTTGTAAAGATTCTTTTTAATAAAAAAATAAAATTTTGAAGAAGACCACAAAATCTTCTGAAAAATAATATCACATAAACTCATATTATTTTCTAATATATAACTATTTTATATAAAAATCAAATTCAATGATCTTAAAAGCGAAGGATAAACCTCAAAATTTACGAATATAATGAGTGGGAATATAATGCTTATCTATCATAAAACCATATGAAATATCAATTTTTGCTTTACGCCTAATTTTTAACGACAATTAGCAAAAAATGTTAAATGTTAACACTCAGTCCATTTGAATATGAAAAATAAAATTGACTTTGATTAAATGTTTTTATTTATCATGCAATTCTTCTTGCGACCAAAGATTTGAATAAAAGTTCAAAAAATAAGATAGCTTAAAAAATAATATACGGTAGTGTTTACTAATAGATGAATAGTATATAAATTCTATTAAAATGGATTTGATCCAAAAAAATATAAAACCAAAAATAATTGTTATAATTTAAATGAAGAAGTAATTTAAAACGATTTTATTTATGATCAAATTTTATATATTTTTTTGGATCAAATCCATTTTAATAGAATTTATATACTATTCATCTATTAGTAAACACTACCGTATATTATTTTTTAAGCTATCTTATTTTTTGAACTTTTATTCAAATCTTTGGTCGCAAGAAGAATTGCATGATAAATAAAAACATTTAATCAAAGTCAATTTTATTTTTCATATTCAAATGGACTGAGTGTTAACATTTAACATTTTTTGCTAATTGTCGTTAAAAATTAGGCGTAAAGCAAAAATTGATATTTCATATGGTTTTATGATAGATAAGCATTATATTCCCACTCATTATATTCGTAAATTTTGAGGTTTATCCTTCGCTTTTAAGATCATTGAATTTGATTTTTATATAAAATAGTTATATATTAGAAAATAATATGAGTTTATGTGATATTATTTTTCAGAAGATTTTGTGGTCTTCTTCAAAATTTTATTTTTTTATTAAAAAGAATCTTTACAAAATATACATTTACTTTAATTAATATTTAAAAACGTGCTCTATCAAAAGTTCCAAAAATTCAATATTTTAGCTTTTCTGAGGTGTTACTTTTGATGAATTTCTGTTTACAACATTATAACAATACACTGATACCAAGTCTTCTGCCTAATCATATAACCAGAGAATCCGGCAGGAACATTTTTTAACGTTCTCTTTGCTAAACTATAGTCACCATCGTTAGGATCTACAAAGTCAGTCTTGATGTAGTTCATAAAAATGAAGAATTCCTTTGAATCAATGAAAATATTCAAAAAGCACATTCTATATTTACGTTTATTTTATATTTTATTTTTCAATATTGTTTGTGATCGACTAAATATTAAAAATGATATTTTTCTCACTCAGAAATAATTTCCAATAGAATTTTCTTTCTCACAAAAATTTTTATACAACTATATCAGAAACAGTGAATGTAATAAAAATTTAAAGTTTTCTTTTCTCATGAAAATTTTTTTCCTCATATAGAATATCATTTTACTCGGCATGATGTACCGAGTCTGTTTTTGCAATTTTGTATTTTCTTCTTTCCAAATTTATTTTTTCCAAAACCGTGTTTTTATTCAAATTTTCAATAGTTTATATATTTTCTCAAACCGTCTTAGATTTTCTCACTTTTTGGGGATTTTCTCTCAAAATATACAAAAATAGTAATATCAATACATGTGTCTAATATACTTTAAAACCCTCGTGACAAAATTCAAAAACGAAGAGATCTTCTTTCCGAATTTTTTTCAAAATCAAATAAATGAGATAAAAAAGTACGTTTGGAAAATTCATTTTTACCATTTTAGGAATTTTCTCACTTTTCTTCCAAATTGACATCCTTAATAAAAAGCAAAAGCATATATAAAATAGTAATAATATCTAACGAAAAAGCCTTGACCATATGATAATAGAAATTTGGCAGAAAAATTTGAATTCAATTTAAGTTTCAGAACCAATCACGAACAATCGATTAAAATATTTCAAAGAGTATTATTCTGTAATTCCGGTTTTATATTGTGAACGGATATTTTTGAAAGCATTGAAAAAGTTTTTCGTGATTTTTTTCGTTTTCTCAATATTAAATTTTTATTATTCTCCCATAGTAGAATTAAAATTTTTCTAAAATTTAAGATATTCAATTTTTGAAATCAATTGTGTTCGTTAACAAAATTCTCAAAAAAATGAACGAAGAGATTATGAAGCTACAAGACGAATTAGAAGAAATAAGTCACAGCTTATCGCAACAAGATATATCCGAAGTTATTGATAATGAAAGACGAATATGTTTTATTTGCTGCAATTCTTATACAAAGCCAGAATTTCATTTAGGATCTGCTCCAATTAACGATTCAATCACGGTCGCATTACTACATCATGCCAAAGGTTATAAAAATATTCATCTACTCAATCCAAGCCCACAAAAATTCATGTCAATTTTTGATAAACTCTTACAAATGAAATTAGAAAAGCTTACGATATTTTATTGCGGTCATGGAAGTAAAATTGGCAATGAAAGTGTCCTCATTTTCGATAATGGCTGCATAAAAGGTTCCCAAATTCTGGATCATTTCCGTGCTTACAGCCTTGATTCATGCCAAAAAACAATTATTGCTGATTGCTGCAACGCTGAGTCAATTTGGGCCGGCGAAAATCTTCCAAAAAATACAATAATTTTGTGTTCTTCTATTGGTGATACACCTTCCAAACAAGCTAAAGTTTTTGGAAGAGATCATGGACTATTTACACTATTCTTTTGGAGAGCTTTCCGCAAGAATCCAAATTTCTCCATCAAAGAAATTGTTCAAAATGTAAATACTTATTTGGCAAAGTTTGACCAGAAGATCATGTGCACATCTACACCGTCAAACCTTGTCGACTTTTCCATGTTCGATGGAAAGAAGCGAATTATTAACAATGCATAAGAATTATTATTTATTGTTTTGTTTTATTATAAATTATATTATTCTATCCGGTAATTTAGGCTCTAATTTTTTTCTGATCCAATTCATCATCTTCTTATTAACATTATTAACATTCATATATGCATTAAATTAATGGAAATAAGTTAGACTTTATATTTATGTTAGAAAAGCAGCTTGTTGGACGTTGCTCGTTAAATTCTTTTCTCCATCATTCTATTCTATGGATAAGCAAGCGCAAATCTATCTGTATATGGAAAATAACAACGAATGGTTTAACTGTAGCTTCCGTTTCGGAATCTTTTAAAAATCTTTGCTATTTAGAGCATCATAACTTTTATATTGGATGATAAAATTCGAAATATTTTCCATAGACTTATATGAAAATAATACATATAGTTAATGTTTTAATTAAATAATAATAAATTAACAATTATTTAACCTCAAAGAAAGGTTTTTGATCTGGTAAGCATCAGCCAATCTTTGCCTGATCATATTAGGATCAGGTGCTGGTACCGGCGGAATCCTTATCTTCGATCTTGGATCAATATAAATCTGAGGAGAGCTTGGTAACGATCCAGACTGTTGAGGAACACCAGGAAGAGGCATCTGAGGCTGTGCGGAAGGTTGTTGAGCTTGGTTTTCATTTCCTTCCTCTTCTCCTTCGTCTTCCTCTTCTTCCTCGTAATATTCTTCCTCTTCCTCGTCTTCTTCCTCCTCTTCCTCTTCATCCTGATCGACTGTTAAGAACTTTGGCCTGCATTCCGATGGAATTGCGATCTTTGGGTTTCCTTGTCGAACAATTTCCATCAAATCGAGAAGTAGCGGGTCCTTGATCTTATATTTATCATCGAAGAACGTAATGGAAAGGTTAACACCTCTTCTTGCGAAAGATTTGTAAAATTTATTCAAAGCATCGCCTTCTGTAATGCCATTGCCTACAGCTTTGACGGTAACGACTGCTCTGTTGTGCATTAATGCGTCCGATAAGCTGTCAAGGATCGCAGGAGGGAATCCTTGGTTTGATAAATCAATATGAGACAAAGAACGATTGGTTTTGAGGGCAACAATGATATATTTGACATGATCAAGTAATATCTTGCTCTCCGAGCCAGCGCAAAATAGATATCTTAAACGTTTTGTGAAGGCAATATATCTATAAACGTTTTCAAGCACTTTTTCACCTTGGTTTATGCATCCATTGATAGATAACCATGCAATACGGCATTCCGATAAGTAATCAACGAGATCTGGGAAGAGTGGGTTGTTATCCCAATTAAATTCTGTCAATTTTTCGGTTGAGAAGTTATCGAGGTTTTGTTTGAACTCATCCCATTTATTATCTTCGACTTTCGTGTTCGCTAGTTCCAAACGAAGCTTCTGCGATGCGGTTTGATGATCTGTTATGACAAGGAAGATTGCTACGAGGGCGGAAGCGTTCCATGTGTTATTGGAAAGGTCTATTGACTCAAGATTAGGTGGAAGAAGTAAGTCTTCAGGTACAGATTTCTTAGTTATATTATTTTGAAGCTCTAATCTTCTCAGTTTGATATTTCTCTTAGTTGACAGTAATTGGAATACATCGGCAACTTCAACTTCGCATGAATTCAACGCTAACTCTGTTAAATTAGGGAAATTGAAAATCGGAGCGTAATTAATACTCATTTTGCTGAAATTCAAGATCTCTATGTCCTCAAATTTGTTTGCATTTGACTCAAACTGCTTGTTGAACTCATGGTTTGCGGATTGGTCGAGAAATGGATTTTCTAATTTGTAAGAAGTCAGGAAAGGAACGTGTGCGAGGTCCAAAAGATATTTAACATCTAATCTTTCTGTTTTAGAGTTAATTAATTGGATACTATTGATGCGGCGCTTACCATCCATTTTTTCTTCTTTTAATGCAGATATAACTTTCCTTATATCTTCATTAACGGTATCTCTTGATACCAATGTTGTAATATTTGACGAATTCTTAAGGAATTTGGCAACATCTTTCCATTTTGGATTTTGAAACAGAGGAATTTCTATAGTATCGATATTTGTGACGTTAATTGACTCAAGAAGGATAATTAATCCTTTGTTTAATAATGCAACGAGAGAATCAAAGTTAAAAGAGTGGCCTAAAAAGTTGTAGTTCTGAAGATAGCCAGAAATCTCATGATTAGGCTTTTCATCACGAAGATAAGTGAGGAATTTGTAACGCTTAATCGGAGCATTATCAGGCTTCTTCATTCTTAATAATGGAGTGATTTGAGGGAGTTCTTCAGTTGGAAGGATGGTAAATATAGCTTCGAACAATTTCTTAAAAGCATCATCCATCTCTGGACCACTAATGAGATGCTCTTCTGACTCATATTTTATTCGTAAGATTTTATCGTTTGTAAGTTCTATTTCTTTAACATCTTGGTGAGTAAAGTACTTATACTGTGCAACTTTACCAAAAGCTTTGGATTTAAATATCTGTATATCGAAATCTGTCATCAATAAAATGCATTTCGAGCCTTTTTTGATATTTCCTTCATCAGACATCGTGACATGATTGATATAGAACGGTTTGCATGCTTTTTCTCGATACATGCCACCTATCGATATCTTAGCTTTTTCATCAATCATTTTTTCAAGAGATCCAATGTAAAGCTTTTTTTTCTCGGAATTTTTCACCGTCCCTTTGAAAATGAATTGCAAATATATAATTTTGTTTGAAAATGTTGCCTATAATCATATGCAAATATTAAAAAAATTATTCCGAATCTGAGAAATGAATCAGAATTACAAATGAAATCCGTTAAGAAGCTGAATTCGAATTTAATAGGACAAAGTGGTAAAGAATATTTGGCAGCGGTAATAGTGTGCACACTATTTTCCAATATTTCGTATTCAACATTTTAATTTGACATTGGAATTCATCACGCTGCAACTAACAAACACAGTTGACTAATTCTAAAATGTTTTTGAACATCTAAATATCATAAAATTTTTGATTGCTTATGATGATGAATTCTATATTCCATTAATCATGGATACATCATATACTGCGAAATCTCAATTGAAATCCATAGAGCACGATCAATTCAAAATAATGCCAAATAAATCAAAGTAATTTCAAACGAATCAGAACATATTCATCTTAATCCAGATTATAATATGCGTAATCGTTTTACAAGAAGGAAATTTATAAAGATTTTAGAAGTGAAGTATTAAAAGTGAGCATTAATCATGAATTAATAGAAAATATCAAAGAACATAATTAGTGTAATGATAATTAACTAGTCATTGGTCAGTGATATGTCTCGATATTTTTTCATGAATCTGACTTTCGAAGGAATCAAGATCATCTCTAAACTAACCATTGCCAAAGTGGATTCATATCAACGCTATGATTTGAAAACTAATCATATTTTGATGAATACCGAGAAACACATCAGGAATAAATATCATGTTATCCTTGAAAGTAAAGTAATGCGTGTGTGCAATCACTAATACTCATAGAACACAAACTGAAATGCTTCACCCTTAACCTTTACATCCGAGAAATAAAAAAGTGTTACATCTCCCCTTTTTTTTCTGATATAAATTTTTATGAAATTTTATCAAATTTTATGGATTCGAATAGCTCTGAGGCGAGAGTAATAATGCCAGCGATTATTAAAGGCTACGATCATTTAAACAACTCAGCCTTTGTCGAGTGGGTTATTAAAGCATGCAAAAATGATGATAAGCCACCAAAATCGAAGCATGTTCGCAGAATTATCAATGGTATGCTTAGAGACTCTAATGTATCTATGCAAATGATGGTTAATATCATTATTGATGATAACCACTGGCAGACAAATCCAATTTTGGCGCCAAATTATATATTTGCCCTGTCTGTCTTCCAAATGATGAAGAAATTAGAGGCAGCAGATGATGCTCTCAAGAAGATTGATATGCTTTCCAGTTATTATGAAAAACAACGCTTCGATGAAAAACTTACACCATATTGGAACATTGCCTTGGGTCTTGCATCAATTTACCACTCTAAGGTTATTTTCCATCATCAGAATCCTAATGTTCAGCCTAATTTCCATTCAATAGATGGCAAATTCCCAAGTGAATTTTTCGAAATCCTTCGTGGTTATCTTACCAAAGTTATTTATGAATCAAACCGTGCGCTTGCAAATATTGCTGATAATTTCCCATGCACTGTCATGGTACAGCCATTTATTGAAGAGGCAATCAATTCATACAGACTTTTGAAGTTTGTTGACAAAGATAATGCTGCAAAAACAACATTGAGGGATGCTGAAGCACTATTTGAGAAAGCACAGTCAATCCAATTCTTAAGGAGTGCTGTTATTTATCCTCCAAAGTACAACTCAATCCCAGAGCCTCGTTTTTCAAGCTATGGCGCACAGTGATCAAAACAAAACTACGAGATATGCTTAAACTTTATACTTATTTATTGGAATTTTTATCTTTTATTTACTCTCATTTTTCAAACCGGATGTATGATACTTCACTTACCCTTGAGTAGTTTTATTAGATTGACTACCTAGGCAGAATATTATGAAAAATTATTTTGATAATCGATTTTGAATTACGATTTTTCATTCCAATTTATAATGAAATAGCATCTGTGCTTTGTAAAGATAGAGAATTTTAAAACATTTTTAGTTTTAAATTTTTCAAGATGATTTTTTTTTCGTACGTTTGTGAAACTTCGATTTTTCAAGAACAAAATGACTTACAATCTTCAGCTCGAACTAGATAATAACATGATAGATATCACAATTAAGATTGTAAGCGAGAACGAAATGAGAGTAGAAGCAAATGATCCAATTAACTATCACAGATGGCAATCAACTTTCGATTATAATTATTTTAGTTTGTTAGCGCAGCAGACAATCCTCAAAGACCAAGAGCTTGCTCAAAAATTGTTTATGATTCCCTTAAATTGAAAAAGGGTTGCGAAATCAAACTAACATATGTAAAAGATGTTACACAAAAAAACGATGTTGGAAGTGAATTGCTTCTTATATTTAGTATCAACATAATGGTTAAAATAGCTTTACCCTTCAAGCTTGAACCAAAGCCCTACTCTACACAAGAATTAGTTGATATAATCAAAGATCTAAAGAAAACACAAGGTCCCAGACTTGACATAGAAAATCAATTGATACAAAACAACTTTATGAACAATCTCAAGCATTTTTTGCTGAAAAACAAGATTTGATTCAACAAATTCAAATGTTACAGGATGAAAACGAAAAGTTGAAGGAAGATCTATCTAAGAAGGAAAGGATTATTAAATCTCTTCAAGAAACTTCTCATTCTAAAATTCAACAATCTTCATATGATCGCCGAGCACCTAGCCCTCACTCTAGTAGTATTGCTGAACGTCAAACTGTATCTCCACGTACCAGACAAACTTCTGGACCATATAAAACAGTTCGCTCTGGATCATCTAATTCAAGAAACGCATCTGCTAAAAATTCAAGAAATGCTTCTGCCAGAAGTTCATCTATTTCATCCAGGAATAATTCTGCTTTTAATTCTCGTAATTCCTCTAGAAACAGCTCTGTTCAAAGCTCTAGGAGAAATTCAGTAGCAAGTTCTTCGAATAATTCAAGAAGTTCATCAGTGAGGTCTTCTAGAAATTCATCCGCTAGATCATCAAGAGGTTCCACTCCAACACGTACTAATACATCATATAGAAGTGAACATATTCCTCTGAAAAGGTTTGACCCTACTGCATGGAAGAAGCAAAGAGATGCACGCCGTTCGGCTTCTCCTGCTAGAAAAACTTTTTATTAATGGATATTTTGTTGCTTTTGTTAAATTATTTTTATTTATTATCATGATATTTTACTTTATATTTTATATTGAGTTTGTTTAATTTCGAATATAGAAATAGTTTTAGTAATTACATAAACAAATAAACATTTATTCTGAATACGATATCGGAATATTAAATAAAATCTTAGAGTTAAATGAAATGAATATCATAAAGCTCTAAGAAATTATATATCGTAATCATCATCTCTATCGTATTGTATGCCGCATGTGCAAACTCGAACTTTATTGATATCATTTCCTGAATCAACAAAATTTGCAATTTTTTGTATTATATTCCTTCCACTAATGAGTCTCCCAATTGGAACAGCGTTTTCTGGAACATCTGCGTTTTCTTTCATTGTAATGATGATTTCTGGTGAAGTTTGTTCATTTCGTGGTACTGAACATATCATATAGGGGATATTGCATGGAGATGTTGGATAATCTGCTGGCTTTGTTTCAACTTTATCAAGAAAAACTGAACCGAAGGAAACTGAATTTCCTGGATTGTAGTTCGATGCATTAACACCTCTGAAGCAGTACTGTCCGCTTAAGCATTTTAATCCGGGCTCTAAAGTTGCGAACCAATTTGGAGCTTCACGGTTGAAGAAACCGATATCAAGCCTTCCAGAGCGAACTTTATCTATAACAATATCTAAATAGCCTCGCTCAAACACTTTGGGTGTTGAAAGTGTGCACTGAAGGAGAAAAGAAAACATAAAATCTGTCAGTTTTTCCGAAACATGTTCAGTGATGAAGTCAAGTGACTTTTAAGCATCTGAAACTATAAATATTTTAGTTGGGATTCAATTGGTTATAAAATCATGCAAATTAACAGCACACCCATAAAATATTCGAAATATGATGACTTTTCAATCCTCATTAACTAAAAGAATTGAGAGAAAATCACTATCTAAAAGGATTCTTATGTATGATCTGATGATCTTTTAAAACTATATAAAGAAGGAAAATTGAGTTAAATTTTAGTATAGAAACAAACAAAATTATGATTGAACAAACATGAAAAGTGCAATAGAAAAGCATGCGAGGAAGGATATTGTTCCTTTAGCATCAATTTCAACATCATCTTTTGCAACTTTTCTGACAGCAATGATTTCTTCACCATTGAAGCACATTTTACAGTTTTTAATACTTGGGATTGCTTTTCTATCTCCAAATGCCGATTTCAAATCTGAGCATATTCCTGGAGGACTTGTAAGCTTTTTGTAAGGCGGGATTACGCCATCTATCTCGAAAAACTCAGCATGTACAGCATGCCCTGCTTCAATTTTGAGAGACAACGATATATCATTTCCAAGTCTCATATTAAAAAGACCTTCATTATTAGTATCGATTTCACATATAAGTCCTCGAGGATTCGAAACTTTGATTTCCTGTGAAAAAGTAGAAGCATATTTGGCTTGAGCAACAAATGAGCCAGAATTATCTCCAACTTGCTTCATTGTAAATAATTTATGAAATGTTCCTCCTTGCCAAACTTTTTCACGATGAACTGTGTAATGATTTACTCGTTCCCATATTGGTATAAGTTGAAGCCTTGAAGATGCGCGTGGTGTTGAAGATTTGTATCTGTCAAGTAATCGTAACTGTGGTTTTGATTCTTGAGGCATATTTTGTAATCTTGGAATCTCTAATGCTGAATTTGCATGTGGATTGACCATAGGTGTTTCGCTCTTTGATTGAGTCATTGTATGTACCTGTACTTTTGGTGTTTCTGAATCAACACCACTGTCATCGTCGTCATTTGATAAAATAAAAACAGAATTTTTACTTGGAGAATCAGTCTGAGCATCGTTATTATTGCTTGATGGTTCACGTTTTAATCTTTTGCGAACCCTTCTGTCATTGCTTGGCTTGGTATCACTCATTTATTTTTGTAAAATAATTGTTTTGAAAAACAATGTAAAAACGGAAGAAAAATTTAAAAAACGCTATCCTGGGGACTCGAACCCCAAACCCTTGGATTAAAAGTCCAAAGCTCTATCCTGTTGAGCTAGGAAAGCTTCACGATGTTTTCGATGAATAAGTCCTTATCATATTTATTTCACACTTTTCAGTCAATTCTATCGGCGCGAAAAGTAACTTTTGACATTTTGAATTTACAGTAAATTAGCATACTATATTTATAATTTTTATGGCTTAATTTAGATAGTATTCGTTCAGAAATTTTAATCATATTTTAACTAAACATATGTTAGTATTCTTCACTATTTGGTTGGTGCAAGCGCCAACCAAATAGTAAAAAATTCAATTTTTCAAAAAATTTATTATTTAATTATCATCAAAACTCACGGAAAACTTAATGCTTGGTTATTACAATACATTCAGAATCAGAATTCATCACATATCCTTTTCCGAACAAATGAGGATATAATTTTCGAAAAACTTCTGAGAGTTTGAATTAGATCATATCATATAATTAATATATATATATATATATTTGGCCGAAGGTGGCGTGCTTGCTAGAAGGGTAAGCGAAGCCACCTGAGGCCCGAAATCATATTTGATCAAATATGATTTTTTTGGGCTAAAGGAATGTAGTAAATATATATCTTCACACTACAGATCACCAAACTTTATTCAACTCAATCGGACAAAATCACATGATATGCTTGTTCATTCAATTCCAAAATGTGTCTGTTCAAAGAAACATCAATAGGAAAAAAGAGATACGCGTACAGTTTGTATTTAATTTGTGTTCAAATATGTTTTTGAGTGATTATCCAATAAATGAGAACAAGTTAAACCCATATCAGTAATATGTACTAAATGCTATTATATATTTTCATAATTAAAGTCTCTGAATTTGAAAATAGTCGAGGTGGACTATTTCAAAAAAAAAGTGTATAGAGAAAGGTAGTCTCACGAAAAATCTGGCGGTAAAAATGTGTATCGAGTTTTGAGAATTTTATGAAAAATTACGACATCTAAAATTTTTGGTTGATGTCCAAGGGAAAAACCAATCAAGCCCATTATGACAAATTGATGGAGGTTTTTACAGGATATAATGATGTCTACGATGCTTTGTACAGGCTGAAAACAAATGACGAAGAAAAATTAAACGCAATTTACAAAAAAATCAAACAAAACCTGATTGACTCTTATCGAATTCCGCCTGGTGAGACTATCAATAAAATATCCCAACTTTCAATTTATAACAACCGCTACATGAAGTCATATTTAGCGATTGTCAAACAAATTGTTTACGAATGCCATCTAAATCAGGTCAACAAAATCAGCGAAGTTTTTAATTACCTTTTCTACAAAGAATACAATATAGTATTGAATGAAAATGAGAGAAAAAGTTTTAACGATTTTGAAGATTCTCATTATTCATCTGATATTCACGAACAAAAGACAATTTACAGATCTATTATGGATGATGACAAAATATCATTTATAATTTTTACAGAAAGAGAAGGATTTGATAAAAATCAAAAATTAAAAAGTGATTTATATCCATATTCAAGAGGTATTTCGTTACTTGAACTATGTTGTTATTATGGATCTGTTGATTGTTTTAAGTTTTTAATAACAAAATTTCAATCAGAAATAACTCCAAATTGTCTTAGATATTCTTTTTTGGGTGGAAATCCAGACATTATGAATGAATGCTTGAAAGTACAAAAACCAGATGATAAATGCATGGAATATGCAATTATATCACACAATATTGATTTTGTAACATTTTTGATGAATGAACACAATATAAAAATTGATTTAGAATTGTGCTCTAAATACAATAATCTTCAATCATTTTTAGTTTGTTTGGATCAAACAAATGATATCAACACATGTTTTGTTTGTTCTCCGAATTTCCATCTTTCATCACTTTTAGAATATTTTATTTCCAATGGTGCAGATATCAATGCTAAAAACAAATATGAATTGACCCCTCTTCATTATGCAGCCAGAGATAATAGGAAAGAAACTGCAGAAATTCTTATTTCAAATGGCGCAGATATCAATGCTAAAGACAAAGATGGATGTACCCCTCTTCATTATGCAGCCAGAGATAATAGGAAAGAAACTGCAGAAATTCTTATTTCAAATGGTGCAGATATCAATGCTAAAGACAAATATGAATCTACCCCTCTTCATTATGCAGCCATGTATGATAGAAAAGAAATTGCAGAAATTCTTATTTCAAATGGTGCAGATATCAATGCTAAAGACAAATATGAATTGACCCCTCTTCATTATGCAGCCAGAAATAATAACAAGGAAACTGCAGAAATTCTTATTTCAAATAGTGCAGATATCAATGCTAAAGACGAAGATGGATGGACCCCTCTTCATTATGCAGCCAGAGATAATAGGAAAGAAATAGTGGAAATCCTTAATTCAAACAAGACAAGACTGTCATGTTGAATTTCGTAAAGGCAAAGGTTCAAGAGCGAGTTGCCTTATTTTTTATTTATTTATTTATTTATAATAATAAAGACTCATATTTCCAGACTATAGTTGTAATCATTGAGAAATATATTTCACACACTTTGTCTGTATATTGAATTATAGGGATATTTGTATTCATTAGTTAGATCCAATTTAAGCTTAAGTAAATATAGAAAACTAGAGCTCGGATGGATAATCTTTCAAAAGAAAAAAGAAATTAAATAAAATAACTTTTAAAAAAGGTTTTAAAGATCAATGAAGAAAATTGAAATTTGTGTTCAAGTTGTCGTGAGCTACTTTATCTTGTACCTTTGTAGAGTTGGTAGAAAAAGTAATATGGGTGTTTCTTGATGAATGAAGGAACATCGAAGTTCTTCTTTGGCAAAGCGATACCTTTCTTGTGAGCTATCTTTGGCAAAGCGAATTTCTTGCATCTTAGCTTTTGCATAGCATGGCGTCCATACTTCTGATACCAGCGCTTTAACATTTCCTTGCCATATTTGCTTTGAATCTATTTCATCTCATATGCAATTAAATATATAAGTCATTAACATATTCAAAATATATTAGTCACTTTTGAGAGGAGGGACGACGATTAAAAAGTGAATATATAAATTTAATAGTTGCTTGATACTTTTTCGGGCTTATTTATAAGCCCGTAAAAAGTATCACGACTATTTTTCTATTGAAAAAAATCATTTTTTATTTATATCTTAGAATGTTTCTGCTAAAAGTTCATATTATCTTATAGGTTATTAGATGATATTACATACCATGTTAATGTTAATGGAAATAAGACCACAAAGACATATATATTTGATTATCCGTGCCCATCAAATTATGTTTGTACCGACTACATCATTGAATTGCATCCAGGACTCTATAAATTCGAGCTATATGGTGCCTCTGGTGGTGGTGATGCAGACAAGATATCCTCTTTCATTGATGAAAAGAAAAATTGTATAAGTGATTTTCTTGTTGAAGAATATCATGGAAACACCAAATGCGCCAATGTAGGAAGCCGTGGTGGTGCTGGTGGCTATATATCAGGGATCATTAAATTATCCCACGCCATAACCGCTTATGCAACGATAGGTGGTCAAGGAATTTATAATATATCACTGAGAAAAAATCATCTTTTGACCCTAATAAAATGGTTAAAGGCGGTTATGGTGGCGGTGGTAATGCATTTAACTTTTATTCGAGTAGCACAGACTACGGCTCAGGAAGTGGCGGTGGTCAAACCGCTGTCAAGTTCTTCTCAAATGACCTTTGGCATCGAGTGATCGTGGCAGGTGCTGGAGGTGGGTCTGACAATTCTTATACCTATCCAAATATGGTTGATGATGGATCAGGTGGTTCAGGAGGTGGTCTTACCGCTCAAGGGTGTTGGATAAACGGTGCACTCAAATCAGATAAATTGGCAAATTCCACTTTTGGTTTCACATTCGGTTCTGGAGAGTCGGCCCAAGAAAAAGGATCCAAGAACCCAAATGGAATTCTCATATGACCAATCTGTAGATAAGCCAGGCGCTGGAAGTGGATGGTTCGGAGGATTCGCATGCCATAGCGGGAACGGAGGTGCTGGAGGAGGAAGTTCTTGGGCACTCTCAGCTAGTGCAGTCATCCCGACAGGGAATATCTCTGCTAACGGAACTTTCTTTAACGAGACAGAGAGCCATCCATACTTCTTTAGCTTGGATGATGGATATTTATTCAATGATGTTAAGACATATCCAGGAATCTGGCAATGTAATGGCCGACTTGTTATCACTATTCTTGATACAGCTCTTTGTCTTTCTTGTAGAACAATTGGCTGCAATTATTTTTCATATGAGCTTTTGTTTGTGTTATTTTTCGACTCAAGTTAGAAATAAGCAATTAAACATATAATATTTAAATAAATTTCATTTCTGACAACCAATATGAATTTCAATTACAAATGAACAGATAATTCTTTGCTGACCAAACCACAGAATGAAAGGATGACCCTAATATAGTTGAGGATCTTTATACGAATGGTTATTCAATTTAGTTTGCCTAGCAAAATATAATATTATCATTAATGTGTATACTCATTAATTTACTAAATAACATCATCTAATGTTTGTACCCTTTTATTTTTTCTTGTTATTATTAATGGAATTAACATAATAAACCAGGAATGCTTTGCATTTTTTTTCTATGTTGCAGTATCAATATCTAATGTTCAAATTATGATAAGGATTATTATTTTTATTTTTGATCTTAATTCGATCATTTCGCTCAAATGTTTACCATTATACTGTGATTCCCTATTTTATCTTATAGTTTATCTGATCAAAATAAATACCAAACTAATGTTATTGTAAGGGATCATCCAAAAACATATATATTCGATTATCCATGCCCTCTTTCACATGAATGTACCGATTACATCATCAAAATTCGGCCAGGCATATATAAATTTGAGCTTTATGGTGCCTCTGGAGGAGCTTCTGCAGGAAGAACATCCTTATTCGTTGATAATAAACGAAATTGCATTAATGACATATATGTCAATATAACTAATGGAAACGCAGAGTGCAACCCTGTTGGAAGTCGTGGTGGTGCTGGCGGCTATATGTCAGGTATCATTAAGATATCTCATCCCATTACCGCCTATGCGACGATAGGAGGTCAAGGAAATTATTCAATCAATAGTAAAGTTCACAAATTTGATGACAACAATATGATTAAAGGCGGTTATGGGGGTGGAGGAAACGCGTATAACTACTATCTTTGCGAAAATGACTATGGTACAGGAAGTGGCGGTGGTCAAACCTCTGTCAAATTCCTCACAAACGATCTTTGGCACCGAGTGATCGTGGCAGGTGCTGGAGGTTGGTCTGATAATTCATATACCGAATCTAACTATGTAGATGATGGATCAGGCGGTTTAGGTGGCGGCTTTATTGCCCAAGGTTATTGGGTTGATGGTGTCCTTAACTCAGATCGAATTGCGAATTCCACTTTTGGTTTCACTTTCGGCTCAGGAGAATCAGCTCGACAAAAAGGTTCGTTGAATCCATATGGCCAGCATGATTATGATATACTAGTCGATAGACCAGGTGCTGGCAGCGGATGGTTCGGAGGATTTGCAGGTCACCATGGAAATGCAGGCTCGGGAGGTGGCAGTTCTTGGGCACTCTCTGCTGAAGCAATCTTTCCAGAAGGAGAAATATATGCAAATGGAAGTTTTTACAATGAAACCGAAAGTCACCCGTACTTCTTCAGTTTGAATGATGGGTATGTTTTCACTGAAGTCAAAACATATCCAGGCGTTTGGGTTGGTAATGGAAGACTTGTAATCACCGTTCTCGATAGTATTATCTGCCCATCATGTGCATGTTTTAATCGTATTAGTTTTATGTATGAACTATTGTTTGTTTTGGTTTTAGAAACAAATGCTAAATAAATAACCATATTTATTTATATTAGAAGCTCCATCCAATAATTAAAAATTTACGACTAAAAATTGATTCAATTGTTGAAAAAAATCTAAAAAACGCTATCCTGGGGACTCGAACCCCAAACCCTTGGATTAAAAGTCCAAAGCTCTATCCTGTTGAGCTAGGAAAGCTTCACATAAATATGGATAAACTACTATCTATCACAATATACCCTATAATTTTATGAATATGGCACTTTTCGTCGATTTTCAAAGAATTAAATCGCTTCTATCTCAATAACTAATAAACATATAAGATTTTTGAAAGTATATATATAGTGTACTACATCTCAAGATATTATTAATATGTATTAGAAAGAATAATATATTGGATTTTGATATCACAAAATGACTTTTCAATTTATTGTAGTTCCTCACAGAGTTGAGATTCTACAAAATTCTTTGCAGATAATTTTATGAAGGGATGATAGACTAACGAACTATAGATACATGAATTGAAAATAAAAAAATCGATTAAATATGAACCTTCATAAACCGTTTAAGAAACTTAAAAACTATTCTTTATTGTTTATTTTGGACGAAGTTTAATATGATTGTGGTTTTATTGGACAATAATCGAGTAACGGAAAAATATAACATTTATCTATAAAGTGAAAAATTTAAGAGGTATATTTCGTAAGATATTTCCTCTCTGATTACAAGAACTATTGTGAGCTATCAATCTAATGAAAGAGAGCAGATTTGGCCGTAATGAAAATGCAATACTTCGAAAATCAATGCAAAAAAGATTAATTTGTTAGAAACAATCGACTATGACACTGAATTCTAAGAGCAAACGTTTACATTAGGATATTTTGATCATTTCCAAATATTGCAAAATTGCATTTAAACAAGTTAAGGAGAATACTATATTAAACCGTGTTGTAAGGAAAATATAACAATTTTAAAGATTTTGCGACAGAATTTGAAAAAATATGAAATCAGATATATAAAAATTGAATAAAATAACATTATGATGGAATATAAGTAGATGAGCTATTAATGCTGCTATGATTTAAAATTGAGTAGTAATGAAATAGAATTTCGATTAAAAAATTAATGTAATCGTATGAAAGCTTTGATCCAAATAATTAATATTCGCAAATATTTTAACATACTAATAAAATTCTGATTATATTAAGATATTTTAAAAATGAGATTCCAAATTGAATGGTGATGGAGATGAAAATTTTTAAAAATATAAAATAAGAGTATAAATTGTTTGAGATATTAACTAGTAAATATTTGAAAAAGTAAATTATTTGAAATCCTTTAAAAATGTTACGATAAAAGCTATATAAATAAAATGACTGGTGTGGTTGGTTAGCTTAATGTGTAATATAAAAAGAATTAATGGGGTTGTGAAGTGAGCAACTTTGAGAAGAATCATTTGTGATTCTTGTCAAAGTTGAATCAAAGACAACAAATTGATAGACAATTGTTGTCTTGTGTAACAACATTCACTTGAATTATAAACAATAACAAGTGTTTGTTGTTCACTGAGCAACTTTGAGAAGAATCATTTGTGATTCTTGTCAAAGTTGAATCAAAGACAACAATTGATAGACAATTGTTGTCTTTGTGTACAACATTCACTTGAATTATAAACAATAACAAGTGTTTGTTGTTTCACTGAGCAACTTTGAGAAGAATCATTTGTTGATTCTTGTCAAAGTTGAATCAAAGACAACAATTGATAGACAATTGTTGTCTTTGTGTACAACATTCACTTGAATTATAAACAATAACAAGTGTTTGTTGTTCACTGAGCAACTTGAGAAGAATCATTTGTGATTCTTGTCAAAGTTGAATCAAGACAACAATTGATAGACAATTGTTGTCTTTGTGTACAACATTCACTTGAATTATAAACAATAACAAGTGTTTGTTGTTCACTGAGCAACTTTGAGAAGAATCATTTGTGATTCTGTCAAAGTTGAATCAAAGACAACAATTGATAGACAATTGTTGTCTTTGTGTACAACATTCACTTGAATATAAAACAATAACAAGTGTTTGTTGTTCACTGAGCAACTTTGAGAAGAATCATTTGTGATTCTTGTCAAAGTTGAATCAAAGACAACAATTGATAGACAATTGTTGTCTTTGTGTACAACATTCACTTGAATTATAAACAATAACAAGTGTTTGTTGTTCACTGAGCAACTTTGAGAAGAATCATTTGTGATTCTTGTCAAAGTTGAATCAAAGACAACAATTGATAGACAATTGTTGTCTTTGTGTACAACATTCACTTGAATTATAAACAATAACAAGTGTTTGTTGTTCACTGAGCAACTTTGAGAAGAATCATTTGTGATTCTTGTCAAAGTTGAATCAAAGACAACAATTGATAGACAATTGTTGTCTTTGTGTACAACATTCACTTGAATTATAAACAATAACAAGTGTTTGTTGTTCACTGAGCAACTTTGAGAAGAATCATTTGTGATTCTTGTCAAAGTTGAATCAAAGACAACAATTGATAGACAATTGTTGTCTTTGTGTACAACATTCACTTGAATTATAAACAATAACAAGTGTTTGTTGTTCACTGAGCAACTTTGAGAAGAATCATTTGTGATTCTTGTCAAAGTTGAATCAAAGACAACAATTGATAGACAATTGTTGTCTTTGTGTACAACATTCACTTGAATTATAAACAATAACAAGTGTTTGTTGTTCACTGAGCAACTTTGAGAAGAATCATTTGTGATTCTTGTCAAAGTTGAATCAAAGACAACAATTGATAGACAATTGTTGTCTTTGTGTACAACATTCACTTGAATTATAAACAATAACAAGTGTTTGTTGTTCACTGAGCAACTTTGAGAAGAATCATTTGTGATTCTTGTCAAAGTTGAATCAAAGACAACAATTGATAGACAATTGTTGTCTTTGTGTACAACATTCACTTGAATTATAAACAATAACAAGTGTTTGTTGTTCACTGAGCAACTTTGAGAAGAATCATTTGTGATTCTTGTCAAAGTTGAATCAAAGACAACAATTGATAGACAATTGTTGTCTTTGTGTACAACATTCACTTGAATTATAAACAATAACAAGTGTTTGTTGTTCACTGAGCAACTTTGAGAAGAATCATTTGTGATTCTTGCCAAAGTTGAATCAAAGACAACAATTGATAGACAATTGTTGTCTTTGTGTACAACATTCACTTGAATTATAAACAATAACAAGTGTTTGTTGTTCACTGAGCAACTTTGAGAAGAATCATTTGTGATTCTTGTCAAAGTTGAATCAAAGACAACAATTGATAGACAATTGTTGTCTTTGTGTACAACATTCACTTGAATTATAAACAATAACAAGTGTTTGTTGTTCACTGAGCAACTTTGAGAAGAATCATTTGTGATTCTTGTCAAAGTTGAATCAAAGACAACAATTGATAGACAATTGTTGTCTTTGTGTACAACATTCACTTGAATTATAAACAATAACAAGTGTTTGTTGTTCACTGAGCAACTTTGAGAAGAATCATTTGTGATTCTTGTCAAAGTTGAATCAAAGACAACAATTGATAGACAATTGTTGTCTTTGTGTACAACATTCACTTGAATTATAAACAATAACAAGTGTTTGTTGTTCACTGAGCAACTTTGAGAAGAATCATTTGTGATTCTTGTCAAAGTTGAATCAAAGACAACAATTGATAGACAATTGTTGTCTTTGTGTACAACATTCACTTGAATTATAAACAATAACAAGTGTTTGTTGTTCACTGAGCAACTTTGAGAAGAATCATTTGTGATTCTTGTCAAAGTTGAATCAAAGACAACAATTGATAGACAATTGTTGTCTTTGTGTACAACATTCACTTGAATTATAAACAATAACAAGTGTTTGTTGTTCACTGAGCAACTTTGAGAAGAATCATTTGTGATTCTTGTCAAAGTTGAATCAAAGACAACAATTGATAGACAATTGTTGTCTTTGTGTACAACATTCACTTGAATTATAAACAATAACAAGTGTTTGTTGTTCACTGAGCAACTTTGAGAAGAATCATTTGTGATTCTTGTCAAAGTTGAATCAAAGACAACAATTGATAGACAATTGTTGTCTTTGTGTACAACATTCACTTGAATTATAAACAATAACAAGTGTTTGTTGTTCACTGAGCAACTTTGAGAAGAATCATTTGTGATTCTTGCCAAAGTTGAATCAAAGACAACAATTGATAGACAATTGTTGTCTTTGTGTACAACATTCACTTGAATTATAAACAATAACAAGTGTTTGTTGTTCACTGAGCAACTTTGAGAAGAATCATTTGTGATTCTTGTCAAAGTTGAATCAAAGACAACAATTGATAGACAATTGTTGTCTTTGTGTACAACATTCACTTGAATTATAAACAATAACAAGTGTTGTTGTTCACTGAGCAACTTTGAGAAGAATCATTTGTGATTCTTGTCAAAGTTGAATCAAAGACAACAATTGATAGACAATTGTTGTCTTTGTGTACAACATTCACTTGAATTATAAACAATAACAAGTGTTTGTTGTTCACTGAGCAACTTGAGAAGAATCATTTGTGATTCTTGTCAAAGTTGAATCAAAGACAACAATTGATAGACAATTGTTGTCTTTGTGTACAACATTCACTTGAATTATAAACAATAACAAGTGTTTGTTGTTCACTGAGCAACTTTGAGAAGAATCATTTGTGATTCTTGTCAAAGTTGAATCAAAGACAACAATTGATAGACAATTGTTGTCTTTGTGTACAACATTCACTTGAATTATAAACAATAACAAGTGTTTGTTTTCACTGAGCAACTTTGAGAAGAATCATTTGTGATTCTTGTCAAAGTTGAATCAAAGACAACAATTGATAGACAATTGTTGTCTTTGTGTACAACATTCACTTGAATTATAAACAATAACAAGTGTTTGTTGTTCACTGAGCAACTTTGAGAAGAATCATTTGTGATTCTTGTCAA